AGGTACAATGAAACCGATTCAAAATATGTCGTGTTCCTGTTTCGGTTTCGGTTTTGCAAAGTGTTCCGGTTTCGGTTACGTTCTCGTTCTTTAAAATTTGTTTCTGTTTTTCTCCGGTTTCGGTTTTGGAATACAAAAATTAAGATAAGTTTGACAAACAAAAAAACTAATTATTTATTAAATAATAATTTACCTTCCAAGGTTTGTTTTTGGCGATGCTAAACATTGTGATTAATTTTAATTTATGTAAAGAAATCACCTCTGAATCTTATAACCATTGTACAACACAATCTAATAATCTCCATCACATTTGCTTAGATCTAAATTCAGAAATTTGTTTAGTATATTATTTATTATATAATGGGAGTTGTTGCTGAAAGTGATTTGATATAATACCCTGCAGGAAATGGGACTAGTTTGTAGCTAAATATCAACTAACTAGCAGTCGACTAGTGGTAACTATTTATTAACTATTTCCTTTGGCCGTAACCAACTACTTTTGAAGGGTGATGACCGAAAAATAATGATGTAGCTAACTACTTTTGGACATAAATATCAATACAATTTTGTTTCTCATTTTTATATTTTTTTATTTATTCTATTTAACATTACATACATTGGTTACATGTTCTTTTGTAGGTGGTCCCACATTTGAATTCCATCAGACATAACATCAAAATAATAATGTAAAATTTCGATCTATATTTTATATGTCCTGAATTCGAAAAAGAATCTGCGAATTGCAGAAAAAAATGTGTTTTGAAATTATTTTTGTAGGAGGACATTTAAATAGAAACTTGTAAAGATAAAAACTCACGATTGCGTCTGCATGACTCCTGCACGACTTTGCAGCTCATTTAAAGTTAGTTTTGTCATAGCTCATTAGAAGTCAGTTATTGATCGAAATCTCGTAAAAAAGCTAACTATAAGTTGGTGATTGTAATCAATTGATAATTTTTTCTGCAGGGTACATACATATAAGTAAGTGTGATATTCACAGAAATTTTGCTGATATTATAATATAATAAAAATTTTTTGTTTAAATAGGTCACATCTTACTCGCAAAAGTCTAATAAATGTATTTAAATATATTTGTAGGCCAAACACTTGATTGGCTCTTATCAATGAAATCGAGTCCACTACATTACTACTTAAATTGGCTCTCGTAGGTGGCATAATGATTTTTAGGCCAGAAAACAGCCTGTCAACACTGAGCTGCGTTGCAGGAACAGCTAAAACTATTTTATCTAACTGTGTGCTAAGTGCGGTTTCCACAAAGACTCATTTTTCCAATATTTTAGTAGAACATCGATACTTCGGTCTTGCCGTCTTTGCTTTGCTTTGCTAAAACAGGAAGGATAATTTCAGAAGTTTCGGTCCACGGAATTACGATTCTCGTCTGACTGAGACAGCACTAACTCAAAATCATCAGGCTCGTCATCTGAAGTGAAAGCGGCAGCACTGCTACCGCCTTGAATTGCAGCAAATTTATCAGTGTTGCTATAAATCACGACATATAAGAACTAAAAGGCTATTCACATACTAGTCAACAAATTTGTTATGCAAGTAATTTTTTGTGAAACATCACAGTTATGGTACCGAGGAAATAAAATTTTGGTTGCTACATCTTGCAGCTGATTTTTTATAAATTTCTGGTAACCGATTGAAACCTGTGCTTGAACAGGTTTCGGTTTCGTTCCCGTAAAGGTCAAGTACCGGTTCTGGTTTCGATTTCGGTTTTGGAAAACGAAACGGTTATAAACGGTTACGGTTTTGGTTTCGGTTTCATTTCCTGAAAAAATGTCGCCTTTTGATTGCCCCTTTCTCTTTTCGTGTTCTATTCCAAATTAAAGGCAAGGGGTGAAAAAGTTTTATACTCATTTCTTAATATGTCACACTCTTATACTTATAAGGCCAAAAAGGCATATTCTCTGCTCTGATAAGCTTTGTCATATATGTATTACATCTATGTACATATATTGCTAGTACATTCAAAGTACATTCTCCAACATCAGAGCGTAGAAATATTGAAAAAATAAATTATTATTTAAAAACAATTCATTTGAAAAATTAACAAAAAATACAATTTTTGTAAATTCATGAAAAACGCTGCGGCCGCTGGCGATGACAGAGGATAAAAATTACTGCTAGAGAAGGACTTGGCATCACTTTGCATTTTTAATTGGCGTCAATTAGCATAGAAGAGGATTGAATAGCGTGCTTCATTCCCTAAACCGCCCCTGATATGATATGGCACTTCACTGACGAATTTCCCTTACTTTTCCAAAAGGGTGGCCGCCTTATATAAGTAGGAATTTAAAATGTACATTAGGTATCAGATATACTTTTGAGGCGCTTTACAAAGTAAGTTACGTAGAATGTAGAGCAGTCGCTCGGAGTAGTTCGGCGCTTGGAGATAACCTCGGCGGCACGTTATTNGTCGTCGGAGGTGTCCATTTTACGCTTTACTAGTAGATTACATTGGTTATGATGACAATTTTGGTACTAAAACTGAAATAAAGCATGGATGACCTTGTATGGTGCTTACCTATTTTTCCAGTGCTTACTTCTACAAGCACAAAAATTTTCATAGGCTGTCTTTCTTTGAACTATTACATACTGAGCCCTAACCGCCTTTTTGATGCAGAAATGCATCTAGATGCTCGATACATGCATCTGGGACTCGATACATATATGGGGGGATAGTTGCCCTGAAAATTATATGGTTGTTTAAAATGACAATATTATGAAATTAGTCAGCTATACAAGGACAAGAAGGCAAAAACATGCATTTTTGCAGGGTTGAGTGTAACATCAAACACATTTCGCACCGGGAAATGCAAGAAACGAAATAACTATAAGTTAACACTTTATTGCATATTATTGTGTGTGTTCAGAAACGCAACAAGCCGAAGCATCAGTCTCTTTTATTTCTAAACTATAATGGATGAAAATATTCAATATGCACAACCATGGTTGAATGCCTAATTGGAACTTGGTTGCGAAAATATATTTTATAGGTAACAGAAATTGATGCTTTGGCTTGACGCATTCCTGAATGCACCCATTATTTTTTGCTGCAGTATTTACATATATACTTTGGATTACCAATACACAATCCAAATATTTTTGAGCGAAATTAGAAGATTTGTAATAATAACTCCACTCCAGGGTAACTTGATGAGGAGATTTTTTCAAACTTCCTATTGTTATTCACGAACCCACCAAGCAGAGGATGTTGACGTTACATTTGTACAAATGTATGTGTGTGCATTAGGGTGGTTCAAAAATGCATGTGAAAAAGTAAAGTGGGAATTTTTATGCCCTCACCCCTAGGATTGTTCTACACTGAAAAAATATACTCCTATTTTTTTATTTCGAAATCAAAATACATTTAGAGGTCGCTCAAAGCGCTCAAAGTTTTCCATGTATTTTATATGGGAAGTAAACCACTTGTCGTAGAAATGGTATAGAATTCTTGAAAATCAATATTTTTCGATCGCAAAAACTCTGCTCCTTTTCAGAGAATTTCCAATAATATTACCTAATTATTTATTTAACCATTTTTTTATAGTAACTATATTTTATAGGTCCGCCAAAACCCCCAGAAAATGTCAGAAAATGCAATGGGGGAAAAATAAAAAATCTTTGGTATCAAGAAATGGTTAAATAAAAAATTGTGTATTGTTTTTGGGAGTTTTCTGATCGAAAAATATTGATTTTCAAGAATTCCATACCATTTCTATGAAACGTTTTTTCCCCATATAAAATACATGGAAAACTTTGAGCGCTTGGAGCGACCTCTAGATATTTTTTGATTTCAAAATAAAAAAGGGGTATATTTTTTCGATATAGAATAATACAAGAGGGAGCATTAAAGTTCCGACTTTACTTCTTTTGGCCAACCTAATGTACATACATGCACCATATCAAATTTCGGCTCGAGAAATTTTATGAACAATAATTTTTGAAAGTTGAATGAAAAAATTTTTATTGCTGCTTATATGCAGTGACTATTTCAACTTTGTACTATTTGAGTTTAGTGCGAATTTATTTACTTCCACAATGAAAAAGAATAGCAATATCACTAAAGTTTTTAGTAGTGGTGAAGAAGTTTTCCACTATCACTAAGCTGCTGATAAATAGAGAAAATTATAATATCTTCCAATTTATATAGTAAAATGCCTAGTGTACTCAAAATTTAGTGCACTACCCCCAACTATGAACCTAGTGGAAAGCTTAGAATTTTCCTCTTTAGTTTTATAAATTTTGACACTGTACAAATGCAGTGTCGGTCACTTTTTACTAAATTTTCTTCCACTACTTTATTTAAGTCATATATGCATGTACATAAATGTTATACATACTATTGTATACAAATATGTACATGTGTGTATCTGTCAACATATCCGGCCAGAGAAATCGCATGTGTATATCTTCTTCATAATTATTTTACAAATAGCATGACCTCTACTATGATTTCCCCTTTCTTGAAAGTTCAGATCATCCTGATTATCATCATTTTCTTGAATTTTCGTCATCATCTGCAAGCAATACACTCGTAAATATGTGTGCTTCCTTCAGTAATGTTCTTAAAATCAAAGAGCGTTATGATCCCTTTTATCAACACTAGTATGCCATCAGTACACACAAACACTCGAACACATACGTACATATTCACATACGCTCAGCCATTTTCCTTGGTCATGTCCTGACGTCTTCTCGGCTATGCTCTTCGGTCGTCACTATCACACGCGTGTCAGTCTCACTGGCACTGATGCGTTTATTTCACCATTTGTTACACGTTATTTCACGCGGATTTAAAAATATACAATAAATATTCTTTTTGCACTTTTTCTCATTTTCCTTGCATTTTCTTTCTTCTCGGTTCTATTACGCAACGATGCACTTGCAATTTACCACTTCGCCATACTGCTACAACAACTATAACAACACACACACATATCCTTGGCTCATATGGCTGTGATTCGGCGCTGCAGGGCAAGGAACTGCATTCCAATGTTTCAGCTGGCATCATCCTTTCGGATCAATCACTCGTCCTGCAGAGTGTCTCACGTGCATCCGCTGGTGATTACACGTGTTTGGCTGTGAATTCGGAGGGAAAGGGCGCCAGTAATCCAGTTTCGTTGCGTATACGCTGTAAGTATCAAGTGAAAACAATTTGATTTCATCATTACTGATTGCTCTTTGATGTTAATATTGATCAGCGAACGTGCGTAAGTACCTACATATCTACCAGTGTATACACATTTATGCGCTGCGAACACTTTTTACCATATAGTGGTCATCAACGTATAGTTTAGTGATAGATTTATCAATAAGAAATTGCTTATGTAGACAATAGCTAAGAATATCGTAAAGAGGTCCTTGTGCGATTAGTTATGTCCTTGCTAAAATCTAGCGCGATATGCTATGCCACATTAGTAAGGTCCCATTGACTTAGGCAAACCATATGATTGAGACGCATTAGTGGGTCGCAGGTAACTTTAAATCATGTTGATTTTAAACTCAGAGCATCTAGCTAGGTCTTGAAAGGATCCAGCTAGGCGTTTTATCACTTGTTTCTAATGGCATATGAATTTCTATGACACTCTCATATATCTCCTCACTGAACTTATTGATCCTGGGATCCTGGGATTTACTAAAATTTTTTTCCATTTTGCAGTAGGCTCACCGTTCTCAGCAATCAAAAAATTAAACCACGCAGATTCATTGTCGGCATATCTGGCCTTATGCGAAGAACCCTTAGTAGGAGAACATGTAATCTAATATTCAGATATTTTTATAATTTTCTAAAATAGCTATATTATTTCGAACAAAAAGCACTCATATTTGCAGAAACTCAATTTCCACAAAACCACGCCTGCAAAGTAAACTAAAGAAAAACACTGTTTTCAATTGCTACCAGATTTTTCGTTCTTACAAACTGAACAAGTTCAGTTATTCAGTCAGGTTCTGAAATCCAAATGCAAATGACCCAAGTTCACTTTGAGTCCAAATTTTGTTGTTCTATATTCCTCGATTTTAATGCCAAATGAACGTAAATTATTTTTTTCGTTTTAACTTCACTTTTAAAGTATAAACAGAATCAAATCGCTCAGAGAAATTCGTCTGAAGAACCCCCACCACTACCTAGTGCTTCGCTAAAAGTGTATCCACTCAGTAATTGTTCTCACCTGAGACTACAAAAAAGCCGCGTCAACTCGTCAACGACCTCGCTGCCTTCGACTCAAAGTGGTCTGCATCCCACGATAGTGTTACCGCATTTTTAGCTAGAAAAGTCTTTAACAATTTTGGATTTCATCATTTTGTTTGAGAGGGTCCGAAAGTGGAGCTCGAAAAGCCCTCTTCAAACGTCTTTCAATGCTTAATTGAGGTATGTTACAATTCACAATGCTTCATACCAGAAGAAAGGGTACAACTAATTTACATACCACGGTTCGTGGAAAAGCTCAAGCAAACGATATAGTGTGTGACAATATCCTTTTGCAGAACCAGTGCGATATGCCCTACTTATGTACGTGTCATTAATTTTAGAAGGAATTTGATTGAAAATACCAACAAAAAGTGATAATGCAAAAATTTTTACCAAAAGAACCTTTTTCTAACCGAGGGAAAAATTACAGCACTAGTCTCAAAAAATTTTTAGATTGGGAGTGGCTGGTGAGAATACCAGTGTTCAGTTTCAATTGAAATGTTAATATTGGAATTTTAAAATCACTAAGAACAATATCACATCTACACGTGAGGTAGATAACAATTTTTTTTAAACTTAACTGTTTAATTTACGTTAAAAAAATATATTAAAAAACATGAAAATAAAAATAAATACATATTTCTGTTTCATGAAATAAATAAGCACTTTTGTCCAGCACCAACTTCCATTAAATTGGCCAATATATTCAGGCAATAAGTTTTGTGCACAGACTTAAATTTAAGTGCAAACTGAAAAGCCTGAGGGGTCACCAGAAAATCCGTAACCGTTTAATTCTACCAAAAAAGAAACGGACAAAGCAATGAAATATAAAAAGTAACAATGCAATGAATAAACGAATGGNAAATGCTGTCGAGTGTAGAATGTATAAGTAAATGTATGAAGGAGTATGTGCGTGCAAATGAAATTATACAAACGCAAGTGAAGATGAAATGAAGTGTAACCGTGGCCATTTAAAGCAGCACGACAGCGCCAAAGGAGGTCACTGCAGTTGAGTTGAAAAGAAAGCGAACCGAAAAGAGTACAAGTGGAATATCAGCAAAGGCGTTGAAAGACAGGCACTTAAACCGAAGGCAAGAAAAGCATTTTATGGTAATGAATATTTTTCAGCGACTTAGGGTTGGAAACTGCACTGATGCATTTAAAAAGAAAGACGGCGAGATAGACGAATCTTACAGCAGATAGAGTGGCGTCTAAAAGTTTGTCAAACATAGCTACTGCCAGCTTTAAGTGGCACGACTTAGCATTCGTAAAAAGCTTTTAATCAAAAAAAAAA